ACTTCTAGCGTGCCCGCTAGAGTTAAGTAACTTAATGTAATTTTTCTTTATGTGTGTAAGAAATAGAGATCTACTAGACTTTTTAAAGCAAAAATCTATATTAAAATACACCAAAACTGCTGCTAAAATACACAAAGTTCATACTTTGTTATCTAAATAAAATAAATTAAAAACAAACCTCTGTTCAGTTCCACTTTCTAATATGTGTGGTCAACATGACTTTTTCTTGCATAGCTGTGTTCCCAAGTGAATATAATTTCTGTAATAAAAAAAAATCTAATGAAGAATAGATGTATTCCAAAACACAACATAAAGTGAAGATACATATCATTTTAATTACATTATCTAAAGGCAATAGCAGATTAAGCCAGCCTTACCAGTATTGCTTGAAGAGGGTAGGCTGATTGAGAGCCCATCATCAATAAACAATGATGGATATGCATCACCCAAGAGTCATGATTTTGGAGTGATGAATCTTGGTACAACGTGTTTGCTACAAATGACACTTCTGCCTGGATTAAAATTTTCAGATCACACACAGCACTAAGACATTGTAAACACTTGGAGAATCTTTTCTCGTTCACTAGAATCTTATAAAGAATAGCGTCCTGTTCGTACTTTAACAATGCGTGTAACACAACCATAACACACCAATTTCTTAGGCATCTTCTACAAATAAAAATACTTCGAAAAATGGAGAGTTTATATTACAAATAAAGCGAAGACGGTAAGCACAAAATAGACTTTACTCAATCACTTGTAATTTCCTGATATGTACGTACATACTTTAGTCTTCTTCTTCTTTTATTAATGGCATATCTGCGCATTTCACACAATTTTGCCAATGTGAAATGAATAAATTAATTCCAACATGTAAAATGAATTAAAGATTGATTAAAACATTACTATCTTTACTCTTTGTTGTAATGACAGTTTCTGTCAGGTGTCATGTCTCCATCTACTGACAGGGGTGAGGGGCGTGAGGAAATGTCATACATCACTGGACCCCTACGCGATTGGTTTATTGTACGGAGTTGACGGGCCGTGGTAATATTCATGCTGTGCAAACTTAGAACTCGTTTTTTTTACTTTACAGTGCCATCTATGAACTAGCCTTTAAAATAGAAATCATGGTGTAGCCACAATAAATAAATATGTTTATAATTGGGTATAATTTTTAAAGGCACCATTAATAAATCTTGTTTATTATTACTTGAAACTTAGTTAAAAGCCCTTATGATTCCTTATATAAGTAGGTTTATTGTCAGTAGGCTCATTTTTCTTAAAACGGTTAATTTTACTTGTCCTACAAAACATCAAAAACAGCGTACAGACTTTATAAAGAGGAAAGATTTGATTATTTGTTCGCAACGAATAGGCTCCGAAACTACTGAATCGGTTTTAAAAATTCTTTAACCTTTGGGTAGCTACATCATGTGCGGTGGATATTGCCTAAATTTTATCCCGCTAAACAGTTCCCTAGGGACCACGCAGGCAAAGAGGAACTAATTGATAAACTTACACCACTTGAAAAAAAAATTATATGCACAATTTTTGTGTTATATGTTTAGCAATATCCTTTACAAAGGTAATTATAATATTAATCAATAAATAGCAGTTTAACGAGATACTAACATTTATTTTATACAACATCGATATCGATAATAACTGTCGCGCCCTATGAGAGTCTGGTTAGGCATGTACACTCTCTGTGTCTACGCATATACGTTTTTTTCGTAGGTAAGGCCGCTCTGTCAGAGATATCTATTATAGAAAAAAAAAATGTTTAGGCGCATTAAACTTTATGCCTACTGACGAAATGTTGAAAGGACTAAATCAGAACATTTACAAAAATAAGCAAATTCTGTTGTCTGAATTTTACCAATTTTGTATGGGTTGTTTATACGTTTGAATAAAAAAAAATCTAACCTGAAATTGGTGTTTTATTGAAAATAGCAACTACGACATCACACCGTATTTTCCCTATACTGTTCACCATAATTTCTAAGAATCTACAGATTTTTTTAGTAGAATCAGCACCGTGCATATTGTAGACATGGCAACACTGCTGGGCTTACATTAAGGGCGCTTGTGCACTACACTGAATTTTCATGTCCGGCGGCCCGATTTTTTCAGGTCCGATATGTCAGGCCATATGTAGGTAATGCGCGCTTGTGCACTGTCAGGAATTTTACCGTCCGGAATTTTACTTTTCTCTATTCCGGACCGGCTTTTTCAGGTCCGAGATGGCGGCAATGAAAAACGTGTTTACGCTTGTGCACTGCTGTGTCCGAGATCCGGAAAATTCATAAGAAATAGGCTTGGGGAAAAAATAATCGATTTGAATAATATTTATTTCGGCAATATTGTTAATTTCCAATAAACTTATAATCCATATTTATTGTTGATTATAAAATGCTATATTTTATATGATGATTTAATATAGTTGGTATATATCACTGCATATGCTTTGGCAAACTCGGTATAGTTCTAATTTGATCAGCGTATGGTTCTAGTATCGATACTTAATTAGATTTTAGAATCGTATTAAAAGTATCGATAGCTTAAGGTAAGATAAATAAGTGTTGTTACGCTTAGACGCCTAAATAACTGAACCCATCTAAATGGAAATTAATATAGTAAATAGACTTAACTTTAAGAAAGGACATAGGCTACATTTTATCGCGAAAAATAGGGGATGAAAGTTTGCCAGGAAATTTGTCATTATCAAATTTTTTTAGACAATTGATAAGTATAGATAAATATTTGACAACAAAAATAATAATAAAGAATAAACAGAAGATTAACAAAAGTAATTAAGTGACACTCAATGACATTTTCGCCTTTAATAAAATTTTAAATTTATGGTTGTGTCATTAATAAATTAAAAAAAAAGAAGTATTCTAAGGGAATAATATTTCAGCTCAAACAAAGTACACCACGCGTATATAAATATGTCTATATATAATACAGTCAACTGATCTCGTAAAGTTCATTTAGCATATCATTCTCCACTTACACGGCACTAATTTCGATTTGTTTACGAAATGGCGCCACCGTTTGGTCTATCTCTATAATCGCTTAAAGTTGTTTTTACAAATCTTCGAAAAAAATAGCACCATTATAAATTTAAACATCAAGTACTAACCCATTATCAGTAATTTTATTCTAATACCCAGATATTTTTAGCTATTGAAGGTGAATAATGCTGTTTCTAAATTAGTAAAGGTATAAGTTTTTACATCTGATAGTAGGCATTCGATAGTAGTAAAAATGCTTTCGTCTTGCCATAATTTATTATGGTTTATGTAAAACGATCAGATCATTATTTAGGTACCTTTCTACGTCTTCGAACGGAATTACCGACGTTCCAAAAATCTCATCGTACCTAGCATAAGTGACGTGTAGCTTCAAAGAGAGCTGCCCTACACTGCGCCGCTCCGATCAGGAAAAAAACGGACAAGTGCACAAGCTACTCATCCAAGTTTTTCATGTCATTCCGGACCGGAAAAAATCGGACCGCCGGACCTGAAAATTCAGTGTAGTGCACAAGCGCCCTAAGTCTTGCACAATAGGATATATGACTCCATTAAAATATAATAAATTTGTGGTCATCCTATAACATATTTAACTTTATTCTAAACAAAATTATATATATTTTTTACAGATTACACAATATATATATATATTAGCTGAGACGAAGACTCCTAGTAAATCGTTCCAACACCGATGATGTTACACGCTAGTAAATAGGGCTACCTGTTGACGATTAGTATCTTCAAGTATCTCCTTAGCTGTGTGACGATAATAAACTATAAAATCTGTGATTGTAGTTTGAGGTTCGTTTCCTTCACCAAAATGGTTTACTTGTTTACTTGCGTGTGACCATCGTGTGACGCCCGTTAGAAGTGCTATTATGATATAAATGCTACTATTATTATATAAGTGCTATTATTATAAAATATTAATAATAAAAAATAATATTTTTAAGTTTTGTACGTTATTTCAGACAATTGTACTTTATGAGAACAATAAAGTACACGAAATAAGTACTTTAATTGGAAAAAAAAGGTGGCAACCCTATCTTGGATGGACTAAACGGACTTTTCAGTCTGACTCAGTTCGGTCCGCCGTCTGAAGAAAGATTTCTCTTTCTAGCCACAGTAGAGCTTTGTTTTAGCTATGGAAGAGTTAAATTTTTAGAAAATATGTTTTCGTCAATAGCCTTTATTTTATTTGCTATAGAATAAGGTATTCATTTGAAATTAAACTATGGTACAATAAGTTCCAACTTATATAGCGCATGGTGAATCTTCATTTGCAGAAATATTGTGTGTGGTTAAAAAGTTCTTAGTTTTAAGATTATTCAAGGAATAATTTTGCTAAATAACATTTATATTTTTAAATCAATAAACTATTTTTTTCAAATATTTTGAGGCGGTGTCTCACGTCAAATGAAGCACCAATCAGAGCGCGTGCCGTCATTTGGGGATAAACTGGTAGTGATTTTCTAGGAAAAGTGCGGAAAACATTCAAAGTGATCTTAATGATTTTTAACAAGTGAGAAGGGTCAGTTTACTATTTTATTTATTTGTGACTTTAAATGTAAACTGCAGATGATATTGTTTTCACTGAAAATACCTTTTGTTCACCTCACAAATGACATCACATCGTCTTTTGAAACAGTTAAGTTTTAAAAATAGTTTTGGATAAATAATGATGTTTTTTATATAAAATCATATTTTTTGTGAGAATAAGTCTCCATGACTAATTTAAAACACTTTTTAGAAAGTTGTCTGATCCTCTATTCTGAAATGACTGAATGTATGATTAAAATTTATTCTCTTTTAAAATATAATCTCAGTCATACTTGGCAGAGCTCAAGCGGATGGACTAGTTGATGATTTGTTATTACATCCATGAGCCAAATTTGTTGTATTTTAATGTACTACACTAAGCAAACATATTATTAGTTTATAAAGCAAATAAAAAAAAAGTTACACAGTGCACTTACACAATTCTGTGTCCATTGTACTTTATATGAAAACAAAATTTGTAAAATTTGAACTTGAAACATAGTTTTTATATGTCAACACTATTCACAAATTGGTCACTTTTGTCCATGAAGCCTTGTTAAGTTAAGGCTTCAAATACTTATACTAGTTAGGTTTTTTGAACACAGGATTAGAATTGTTTTGACTAGCTTGACTTGAAAGGAAGGCAAGATGACCCTTAGGGCACTTATTGGCATAATGTCCCTTAGTACCACATTTAAAGCAAGTCACTTCTTCTAAGGGTTTGTGGATGATACGTTGCAATCTCTGAGCATTAATGTCCTCATTTTCATTTGCTGGTTTTATATAACCTAGAGCCCTGTACCTTGCCTCTTCTTGTCTTTGAGCTGCTTCTCTTTGCTGAAAATAATAAATGAATATAACTCATACAGTTGGCACTATCACAGTTTCTTTCCAGCTAATTTATGAAGAAAGTGAAGTTTATATCCTACATATGTATTAATATACATATTTGAACATATATGTCTGTAATAAATAAATACATAGAAATCCTAAGCTCATTCTGCATGCGGAACTAAACTATGAGTGTCTGTTGCAATAAGTCAGAAAATAAGAAGAATGTGTGTTATCAATTGCATGTATCATTGTTAGCTTACCTTTATTACTTTTAAAAAGGTGTGTTATCAATAGCATGTATCATTGTCAGCTTATGTTTCATTTTATTTACACTTATAAAAAGAGTTAAAAACTACAAATAAAAAGTGATTTTATTTGTAGTTTTTAACTCTTTTTATAAGTGTAAGTCAAGTGTGCCCTCTAACATGAGTATCTACTCTTGGATTAATATATCCTATAGATGTGTTTAGTTGAAAGATATTCTTTTCTTTAGTTGCTTTGTCAAATCTTGTTATTCATGGGTTTATGGATGCTTCAACAGCTCCATAATTCTATATTATATTTATTAACTATTGTGAAGCATTTTTTTTGTTTTAGAATAACAATATAAGCTGCATTATATAACTAATATAAATATGCAACTTACCTCCTGTGGTATTTTATTGCAATTGGAAGCTTTGTGACCAGCTTCAGAGCAATAGTGACACACTGGTAATCTCTTGGCATCTTTTGTTTGCTCTGGTGGGGCTGGAAGCTCAAATCGAGGGTGCATGAATTTACAGTTTGGACCATCAGGGCATAATCCAGCAAGATAGTTCATGCACAGAACACGCCGCACATGTCTGTGCCGGCAGTGAGGTCCATGACGACAGAAGCCACGGTCATACCTAGAAAAGATTGTTCAATACAAAATGTTTCAATAAAATTTAAAATACAGGGTCTTGCATTTCTTCAAGACTATTTCATTTAGCGTCTTACTATTACAAATACAAAGGTTTAATATAAAATAAACATTTTAAATGCAAAACTATTACACTCGGACTTGACACTTGCTTTTGGAACATCAGATGTGTAATACCTTTCTGACTCGTAAGAAAACAACTTATAATAAATTCAAATATTTAAAAAATCATTTAATTATTTATTCCCACCTCTAAACCACAATTGGATATAATTATTATTGGATAGGCTTTAAAAATACAAATGCTAACCATGGGCAATCCTTGATCTTACTCTCAGGGTCAATGTGAAGAAAGGGGCATTCCTTATTGTGACAGGCATTGAATCTAGCATAGAAGTAGCACTCTGGCATTTTTGACATGTCATATTCATGAAGAAATTCACACTGATCTCCTTTTTTGCAAAGGCCCCTGAGCCAATGTTTACAAACAACCGTACGATCACCCCGGACATGCCTGTAGGGGCATTGAGGCCCATTCGAGCATCCACCAGGTTGACTAAAAAACTCGCACACTGCTGCTGTAGATTCTAAAAAATGTTTTGTACGTTAATTAAGAGTGTGTGTGATTTACATTAAGCGTCATAATGTTTTATTAAAAACAGTATTAATAACTCACTGTCCATTCCTGGGAAAGGTAACGGGAGAGCTCCATACTGTTCTTCTAAAGCGTAATCTATATCAAATTTAATATGATCTACGTTTGCAACTAAAACTTCCATTTTTAGAATATAGTTTAAAGAGCAATACAATAAATTATTTCTATTTTATTTAATACTAAGCGCTTTCACCATACCGCTACACTACAAAATGTAAATGACGTAAAGTCACAGACCCAACACAGACCAATAAGAGATACTACGTATCTACGTATCGTACCGTACAGTAGGCACTAGAGGTGGAAATAATGGCTTAAAATTTTTAAGTGTTGTTACGTTGCACGATTCCAAATAAGCGTTTTTATAAACGGATTATTGTTTAAACGCTTTTTTGAACTGACATTTGAAAATCGTTATATTAAGCGTGCAACGTTGTGTTGTAGTTATTAATGAAACTAACTTGCTTAGGCTATAATAAATTAAAAAAAAAAATAAAAAAAAAATATCAAAGCTAACAAGTTACAAATCCAAATAAACAAAATTGTTGTAAGTAAACAAAATATTGATAACATTTATTTTTTTGTACTTTATTTCAATCAATGACTTTTACTTCGTACTTAATCACAGTCTTCGGTCTGTCTGGAATCAAAATAATAAAGTTTAATTTTAAATTACTAATTAAATAACGTACTGGTTTTTTAAGTTTCGTTTAAAAAAGCGTCTTAATTCACCCGAAAAAGAATATATAAAAAAAAATATAATAAAAGGAAACGAAATGTCTATCTTTGGTCCATTCGTTTCCTGCAAAAATGAACTTTTGTGTAATTGTGATCAATTTACTTGTACCCATTATCAAAAGAGATTTAAGATTCTCATCGGTTAATTGAGATCTGTAAATATTCTTTGTGTACTTCATCATCGAAAACGTTTTCTCACACAAGTAAGTAATCTCTAAAATATAGACTGCAATGTTTTTCATACATACAATGTTTTTCATACATTGCAGTCTATATTTAAAATTAAAATAAATAATAAAATTAAAACGTGGTTTTAATGAATTATGTGTTTATTCAATTTTTTCCAAATAATCAGGCTACGAACAAAATAAGATAATGCTGATCTTAATTTTTAATAATCATGTGTTTTTATAAATGGCCCATATTTTTTTATATTATATTGTCTAATACGCAAATATATAATTCAATATTATTTGTTCCGTTCGATATCCGGAATCCATCTTGAGGCAAGCATCATGCTTTTTGTGACGTTTCCGGTCCAAAACACTACCTCCCCTCTTACTTCCGGCGCCTGTGCTGCCATCTAGTTTGCGCGTAGCGAACCAATGACTTTTAGGCACGAACGCTTACCGTCATTATAGCGTCGTTTTTCGTGGTGAAAACATCGGTCCTACATAAAATGTGCACAAATTATACTTATTATTATATAGTTTAGTGTTAAAATTAAAATGAAATGAATATAAAATTTACCTCCCTTCGCGATGGAGCAACGGGACAGCGAAATAAACAAAGAAAACAGCATTGAAGCAGGCGTGTTTATTGTTTTCGAGCTCGTTGAACAGTGTCGTCGGATTCCAGCTCGGAGAGAGCAAGTAAGGTACAGAGGCGAGAATAAACTGTAAGTGATTTGCATTCGATTTGTTACCCCAACCAGTGACATTTTTGATAGTGCATGATAAAAACTGGAAAACTAAATCCACCTGTGCATTTTTCCATAACAAAATAGCACATAGTATCCATATCAGGACCGCAATTATGGCAACCACAGCCACCATCACGTTCCCTACGACCCCACGGTCCTGAACAGTTCCTACTTGCAGCGGTTACGACTGGTGATAATTTTCTTTATGTACCTACTATAGTAAAACAATTAACACAAGTTCAAATAGGATTTTTTTTTCTTAATAACGTTAAAGACCCAGTCTATGATGAAACCAAATTAGATGAAATATGCTCAAATTAAATTATAAGTTGAGGCGATTTGTTTCTACCACAACAGAATGATTTAAGATAAGATTTTTATTTGCGAGAATAGAAATCATTATAGTTATATTTTATAGAAATGGTACAATCTACAGCATTAACAAATACCCTAACAGAATTAAAGTATGAATCAATTAGTTTAGAACTAGTTTACAACAAATTGTAGATTGATCTATTGCTAAAGACCTTAATGCTAAAGAGCTTTTTGATAAAATCTAATCAACATTCAACAAGGATTATATTTTCCAAATATTAAGTGGCAGACGCACTGATGTGTTCAGAGCCGTGGAGAAGTTTTCTGAGGTGCCTTTACAGAAATTTTTGCCAAATTCAGAGTTCAAAGTCAAAGTCAAAATAATATTTATTCAAATAGACTTCTCTTTTGAATCGTCCAACATTTTTCCCCACCACTCGTTCAGGACGTCTTTTGGCTGATAGGAAGAACGAACAAGTTCTTCTTTGATAATAGTATATTGCACCCAAAAAACAAGGGGGTGCATAAAATGGTTGCAACTGCAAGTTGATTCAAGGTAGATTACCAGAAGTACACACCAATATTTAAATGGTAATGAGACCAGTTCATTAAACTTTAGAAATAAAAATACAATGCATGACATGACACATTGGAGGGGGCTATCTAATGCGATCTGTAAGTTTATGGAACAATCAGGATGTTCCAGATTGCATATGTCGGATCTTGGGCGAGTGGCTCACCAGTTCCAAGGTGTCACCATTTCTGAGCTCCCGCATTCCACTCTCGGTCATCTTAATGCAGATGATGAGCTTTTCTATATTGTCTCTGGTCCGGGTGTTGTTACCTTCGTTGTTTCAGATTTCCATAATACAAGTGTTTAACTATATCATTTGGTATCTAACCTATGTAGGTATGTGATGGTATAAAAATTATATTTTTATGCGTGGGATTTTAAGCCATCTTCAAATATCGTTTGCAATGCTCAAATTAATATACTAGAGATTACAAAAAACACCCTGTTTTGTATCATTTCCTTTTGTAATGTTAAAGCCCGACAATTTCATTTAAAACGACACTGATTTGTCAAAATAAAACCTTTTCGACTGATCAAAAATTTTCGTATTCCGAACATTCTCATACAAAACGAATGGTTTACGAAAATATATCCGAGCCAAAAGTATTTTCATTTGAGTATCGCCGAACAACATCTGGTTCACAGGTTCTTGAGACTGGCATACAACAACCTACCTCATGCAACTGACGTGTCCCTTTGGACTGCTATCGGTACTCAAAAACTTTGCTACCTAGACCAACACAACAACTGCGCTACCTCAATAGCAGCGCTTAGGGTGATCTCTCAACTTCGAGCAGTGTGTGCTGGTTCTGAGCTTCCTCGGAGTTGCCTGATGCATCGTGACCAACACGGTCACGAGGTGCCGGGAAGTGCCGGGGAAGTCAGGGGTAAGTCCCTGTAGGAACCGAAGTGTCTTACGCTACGCATGGCACTTCAGCACGAGGCGACTACACGTGATGGTTAGTCCCTCAGACAGGCCCAGTTCCTAATGGGGAGATTCGACTTTGCGGAGAGATGTTCGGACTAGTTCGAAGTTTGGTCTAGTCATGGTCAAATCCAATATAACCCATAAGACGGACTACAGAAAATAAAAATAGTTTGTGATCTAATGTGTATTTATTTTTAACCGACTTCTCAAAAAAAGGAGGTTCTCAGTTTGACCTTTAGGTATGTATGTATGTTTGTCTGCGATTATCTCGCGATTGGCTGAACCGATTTTGATGCGGTTTTCAGAAAGTATTTATTGCACTCAGGAGAAGGTTTTAGTATTTTCACCGACTTCAAAAAAGGAGGTTCTTAGTTTAAGACCAGATGTTTTGATTGGTTTATATTTTTGCGTAACATTATTGTTACTTATTCCTAATCGGTCATTTAGTCTAGCTCAGGGTAGGCGAATCTTTATACATCAACGTGCCATTTTTCTACAAAAATGTTTAATGAGGTCATATGCATGCCATCAAATAATTTTAGCTTTGTGATTATTGCGAAAAATATTGCCAACCAATAACTCTTTATTTACTACAAAAAAGGTATTCTTTTTCTAAGTGTACATTGAATTTCGTGATTGTGCCCAAAATATTTTGCCACATGCCACCAATGGCACGTGTGCCATTAATTCGCCATCCCTGGTCTAGGTAATCACGATCTGACATAACACAAAAAAGAATGAAATATTTTTTTTTAAACAAGAACCAACTTCAATACTAAAAAGTAAAAAAAAGAACAAAACTAAACTATGTTTTTTGGAGTCACTGCGGTCGGTATCTTTTGTTTGTAGCACCGTGATCTCAGCTCACTCGGTTGCGCGCCATCTACCGCACGCCGCATGTGCGCAGCATAAATGTACATACCTCACACACAAACATATATAGTATGTGGCGAGTTTTTTGTTTGTTGAGTTAAATTGAAAGATTGAAGAGAGAACTGCGTCGCGTCGCGTCAAACTCGAACGTAATATATTTGTCGACTCTACATTACACGTCCTCGGTTCTGTTAAAAACGTTATGTGAGTATTTCTAAAGTTTACTAAAAAATAATAACTATTAATAAACTATTATTAGGTAATCTTAATCTGTTAAGTCAAGCGGCCAGTGTTTTATTGCAATGGGTTGCATTGGGTGTGTGGTGTGCTTTTCGCGTTTTGTCAATTTATCATGCCTATGTGGATAGATTAATCTTCAGTTCAGTTTAGTATGTTCTCTCATGTTGCAATCTATATACTATAATAAAAACGTAACCGATCGATGTCTGTACATTGAAGATATATGAAAAAAACTGTTATGAGGGACATTTATAAGCGTAATAGAACACAAAACAATGATTTTTAAATTTTTTGTCTGTTTGTCGGTTTGTCTGTGCGTTTGTGCACGATAACCTCAGAAACGGCTGAACCGATTTAAATGCAGTTTTCACTTTTATAATGCCGTATTCTTCCGTTAACATTTAGTGTAAGATTTATTTTAATCGGTTTACAAATAAAAAAGTTATGTCAATTTGAAGTGACGTGTTAATAAAGTAAATTGCAGTGAAATAAATAAGTAAAATACTCCACAAGGACATACATGAATACATCCTACTCGCGTGATCGTATACCACACGTCCATTATAAGCTGAACCCTATTTTATTGGCCATTCGCCATTTATAAATGAGGTCAACTTACTTTGGATTTTTCAAAGTTTTGGAATCTT